TTTCAACCTGATAAGTTGTCTGCGTTGTGATATCAAAGTTAATGTTTATAGAAATAAACTTGACAATGATATCAAATGATACTAACAACCAAAACACTCCTGCTGGCTCACATCGGACGAGCAGTCCCAGCCGATCAGAGTCATTCTAATGACCACAACTTGAGGTTCGTTAGTTTCTATTATGGAGCTGTTTCGCTGGGTTGGCTGGCATCGTTAACTCACTGATATTTCTGTTTCAGGCGGTGAGCAAGAGATGTTTTGTTCCTGTGTGGTTAGTTGCATCTGTTCAAACGAGCACGGGGAGTAAGTGGGGAGGGGGGGGGGGATAGGGCGAGTTGGGAGGAGGTAGAAAAGACATTGGAAACAGACATATGATAAAAAGAGAGATTGTGTGGACAAATCAGAAGGAAATGTGTGTGAGAGAGAGAAATAGAGAGAGAGAGAGAGAGAGAGAGAGAGAGAGAGAGAGAGAGAGAGAGAGAGAATGAGAGAGGGAAAGGAGACCTATAGAGAGATTGAAAGGACGAATTTTTGTGAGTGTTGCCTTTGCATGTTTCATTACGCTAATAAATTACAAATACAACAGCAGAAAAATAGACTGCGCGATAATATGGTTGAAACCTATGCGTGTATGTATACTTCAACGATCAATGCAGAGGAACACCTTACTTGCATTAAAGAAACATTGTTCGTGTGTTGTCACTTATGTTTTATTGTGGGTCAGTAGACTTCATTTTGTTTTCGAGATTCGGCAAAGTGGAATTTTATGTGGCAGCGAACCAGACAACTAGTCGTCTGTCATTGTCTTGGGCACAGACCCTACTGTAGAATTTCACCGGTTATCTGGGAACTAGAAAATGAAGAAGATGTGTACGTGGAATTATGTTAAAGTAAAAACACAGAACGCTTCTTCATGCAGCAGTGGGCGCACCGCTACGTAGAAAACATGAGGTGGAGAAAAGGTACTCAACCACCTAATATTTTTCTAGAGGCTGTGCGGGATCATCAAGGGGCTTAGGCCTTGTTTGATTGCTTAGTAATAATAATATTTATTGTTATTATTATTATTATTTTCCATATTATTATTATAATAGGCTGAACAACAAATAAAAATTAGCCATACATTTGAAATAAACCAGACGTGTTAACAAATACTCAGGAGGTGAAATTCTATAGATGGTTGGAAGGAGCGGGGCTGGGCGGGTCTCGGAAGCCGTAGCCCTCTAAACTTTTCTAGGAGTGAGGGTGGGCATTTAGGCTCATTCCTGTTCCCCTTAGTAGGGGAGAACTCGAGGGGAACTGGCTTAGCCACTTGGTTATCAGAACCTCAGGTAAAAACATCATTGTATGATCTACTCTTATTGTGGAAACAAGTCACTCGGTATAGGATTTTAAAACTTTTTTGGACGACCCAAGTTGTTGTAGTCTGTACGTAGCAGCTGCTATAGCAGACGAGATTACCCCCCCCCCCTCCCCCCTCGTCCCCCACGCCCCCCCCCCCCCACGCCCCCCCCCCCCCAAGCATATTGTAAAACGCGACTAATTAGGTGCTTTTCCATTGAAATCGGAGTGCTTCTGTGCACAAATAAGCCAGGTCTGTTAAATGGATGTGCACGCCAAAAGTCAAGTATTAGAACAAGACTAAAGTCTAGAAGAACCAGAACTTTCTGCAGGATTTTACTACGTGTGGAAGGGAGACAAGACAGAGGAAAACGGGAATCAAAGCACTACTGTATGTGATAATAGAAAATCATCTAAAACACATCAGAGCGGAAATATTGATTTTTACAATTCAGATAGCAAAACTAATCAGATTAATTATTACTGCTTTGTTTTCATAGTTCATAATCATCGTCATCATCATCATTATCATCATCTTGACGTCATCGTAATCACCACTCTTTTTATAATCATCTAACAAGTCTAAAGTCCTCAAGTGGACGAACAACCTAAACATTCAGCATGAGGTTTCAACCAGTAAACGGGAACAAAAATAATTTAAAAAGAATAATAATAATAATAATAATAATAATAATAATAATAAGAAGAAGAAGAAGAAGAAGAAGAAGAAGAAGAAGAAGAAGAAGAAGAAGAAGAAGAAGAAGAAGAAGAAGAAGAAGTAGAACAACAACAACAACAACAACAACAACAACAACAACGCGATCATCCGCCATTCTCATCAGTGTACAGAAAATCAGCAGCTAAATTCTTATAGAGCGAAAATGACGGACACACTTTTTGTAAAAACACATAGTTAAAATAAATAATGCTGGAGCGTTTTTACAGATCACCATCATTATCATCTTTTCCAAGAGAGCCAATAATAATCCATACTACCATCATCACCATCTACCATACCCCGCCACGCAGTCACGCAAAATTGCATAAAATCCATACATCCTTTTTAGGATGAAATTTGTTGTTATTTGAAGCCCCACCCTGGCTTTTGCCATGGGCCGCAATATAGGCAGGCCATAAATATGGCCAATTGTCTGAACGCGGTTTCTGTGACCTTTCCACGGTGACCCTCATCCACATGGTGGCACTTTGTGTCATCGGGTGTTTATCGCTTGTGTGATGTTCTAGTGGGGTAGACAGACAGTCAGTCAGTCCGTCACGCAAATCTTCCAACGAACCATCTGTCGTCTGTATTCTTTAATGGCTCTACAGCACACACACACATATATATATATACACACACACGTACGCACGCACTCACACACACATACACACACACCACCCATACACACACACACACACACACACACACAATTTCTGAACCACACTTCCAAAACATACAGTATAATATTTTCTGTCGACATATTTTTCCGCTGCACCTAATTTTTTTTTTTTTTTTTTCTTCAACTGTTACAACATTCTCCAGACTTCTTTCTCAGACCGTGACAAAATGTGATTGTTGCCTTGTCCCAAGGCAAGCAACCATCCATCTTTGAACATTTGCCTCCTGATTCTTTGGACATGTTTCCTATCAGCCCAATGGCATTCTTAATGTTCTACAAGTAACCACTTCTTTGTGATCTCTAATTTCGGTTGTGTTATTCAGATTCACGCATGAATTACATGCAAGGCCACTGACAGAAAGAAAACAAGGGAAGTTGGAGATCTCGACTCATCCCCTCACAAATGTTGGGGTGTTTATGGCTTCATCCTTGTTTCGGTCAATTTTAACAATTATTATTATTATTATTTGTTGAATGGCAATAACTATAATCTTCTGTTGTCCTATTTCTTCTGTCCTAATTAGTCACAAAATAAGAGTGAAATGTACTTTCCTGTCTTTTTCTAGTATTAATGTTGTATTGAGTTTCTGTAGTATTTCTTCTATCCCCTTCACCCATCTCTTTCTTGATCGACCCCTTGACTTGTAACCTGTTGTTCCCACATAGTACGCTCCACTGTAGTATTATAATACTATATTAAAAGTAATATGGTATGTATAAATAAGTTATGAGAAGAGGAAAAATAGAACATGTTGTGACCACTGGAAAGATCTGTGGAAAGAGGGATAGAGGAAGACAACGAGAAAAGATTCTTGACAATCTTGTTGCATGGCATCGAGGTGTGTCAGCACACGACCTGATACATGCTGTAGGAGATCGCAGATTGTGGAGAGGCATGATCGCCCAAACCAGTCTGCAAGGCACCTGATGATAACGATGATGATGATGATAAATAAGTACGTAAAAAACACAATTTCTTTGTGTAAGTGAAGCTTAAAATATATTTCTCTGACAAAACAGTTATATAAATTTATTACTTTTCAGACATTCAAACCATATATATGTGTGTTCTTTTTTTAACTAGGAACTGAAACCTTTTAGTACATACATGACTTTGTGTGTGTCTGGCCACTACAGCGGTACGATGTACAGGGACGATGTTTCTTGTGCATCATTTAATTTTCAGCGTTACTGTTATAGATATTTTGTGATGGGTACCTCACATTTTTAGACACTTTGTCTCTAGCATAAAAAGGCACTAAACACAGCATACTAAAAAAAAAGTGGAATATAGAACGTACTTTTATGGGGGAATATGCTACGCAAAATAACCAAAGGACTGCAGAGAAAAATGTATATTAAAAGTGAAAACTATTGGGTATTAGTTAATTAAAAAGCCACCCCGAAATTATCAATATGCACGCAAAGAAGGCTGGAAAGTAATGATCACTGATGTCTGTTCCAGAACATGTTAATATAAACATTTTTTTTTTTATTTCAAATAAAAAAAGGTTTTTTAATTTTTAACTTGCATACAATAATTATTTTCCAAATAGTTTACCAACAATTTTAATTAAAGCGCCTGGTTTCTTGATGTAATATATCAAAAATAGCTGTGTGAATGTGAAAATTGAATTAAATGTATAGAGAAAATGGCTTATACGTTTGACAGTTCAAATCCAGTATTATATTTTGTTGTTTATGCATCCCCTCCCTCCCCTTTCCCCCGAGACAGTGTTTTTAGACTACCGTAGCAAGTATATTTCCTCTTCTCTATTGAACATATTTGTTGACGAATTTATGGGATCTAGTCATCAGCCAGGGGGCTGCGTGGTCTCGAGGCATGGTGTAGGCCTGGAGTGCTAGAGGTTCTGGGTTCAATCCCCGGTAAGGACTGGAATTGTTTCACGTGGACTTGGACTTCTAGTAATTTCCCCGGTCTCTGGGTAATGAGATCGGACGCTCGTGTGCATTGTTGCACAAAAAAATTTCTTGGTAGTTGGAAATTACAAAGGGTAGCCTAAGGGTAGCCCGGGCAAAATTTTGAGTTAAAAATCTGTCCAAAGTATTTCCTGATCCTCGCCGGTGCTACAGAGCCTGTGTACTATGCTGAGGAGCTTCTTCGGACTCGGAGTTAGAAGAAGAACGGAGCACTTATGTGTTACTACCTTTGTGCTATGATGTTGATCTGTTGTTCAAACCTCAAGTCTCGAATTATTATCAGCCATGTCAGGCTGAATATTGATCCTTTGTTTTAAGGAGTGGTATGACGAGCGCTTGAACTGGTCAGCTGTTGATTATGGTGGAGTCTACGCTATCCGAATTCCCTGTGAGAAGCTCTGGCTGCCTGATATTGTCCTCTACAACAGGTGTGTATGATCCTAGGTGTCTGCATTATGAGCTGTTTTATCTGCATAGCACTCTGTATACATCAAATGGTGCTCAGATTTTTGCTTAAAGACACACATCATGATAAGCAATGCCAGGGCTATACTGGTTGACAAGACATGAGTACGTTAGGAATGCCCTTCCTACCTGGCTTTTTAGTAATGAAGCAGATATACAACTCCAAAAAAAAAATGCCCTGATCGTCTGATCTCTCTAAGGGGGTCAACAATGTCTGCAAGATTCGTAGGGTGCCAACTGCAACTATAGCAGAGCTGGCTAATCTTAATTGTCCTTTACTTGCCAAAAACAATTGTATGACGCGGGATGAAAATGAAAGTCATCCCACACAACTCGAGTTTTGCAGTAACTTAGTCCACTCCCGTCTCGACCTGCCCGATCATGCTCATAGTACCACTCAGTACATACAACAGGGAAATGTCCTGTACAATGTCTACTGAATATGGAGAAAAAAGGAAAAACGCAATGTCAGCGGCCTTCTGCTTCTTCTTCACTTTTTTTTTACTGCTTCTTTGTCGAGAAAAACAAGATTCTCTTTCTTGCTCATTGACTTCTCGACCATTGCCATTTGATACTGTTGTAGACTCGTGCAGAGCTTCTCTGATGTTATCTTTCCACTTTGTGCTTGGTCTGCTTCACACGTTGCAGCTTCTTCCTCTGTTTGTAGCAACATTATATTGTATGGCATTACAAGGCATTCTCTCCAAGCGGGCTAATCATTTCGTTTGTGTGTGTATTACGTTAAGCATTCGCCCCGTAGACTTTCTTTTCTTCTTACGATTTAATTTATGGATGTATCTCGATTTGGTACTACCCCAGTCTTGCTCAGAAATATAATTTATGTTGTTAATGAAAAGATCACGTTCAATGTTTATAAAAACGAACGAGCATCTTAATCATTCCATGAAGGCTCGTTTTCTCTAAACTGCACGAAAGTCTATCTTCTTTAGTTTTTCGTTAATATTTTTTTCCACATGTTCGTAATTGTTTACGGAATGAGTGACTGACCAGGACCGCACGGCGAGTATTTAACATACGGGTACACAAAGTGCCATCATTAGGATGGGAATTCTTCCTGCATAAATCACAGAAACCCCGTTCAACCGTTAGGTTGTATTAGGACCCCCGAAAGAGTTTTGTGCGTTGTTATTATCTCTCATATTGGTACCTGTGTATGAGTTATGTTCATCACTACGGTTAAACTCGCAAGACCTTGCAGTATACGGTATTGCATGTGTTTTATCTAATATTCTTCTCCCAGTTTCCTTTTACGAACAAACCTCCTGAAGCTTGATATATGACCTTGCTAGCATTTAATTTCTTTATAACATTCATTCAAGTGCCAAGGAAACAGAATACCATAATACTGGTACGTTATAAACACACTACATCAGGGCATTTTGAGGTGAGCTCACCAGCTCTCTTACTCGCCATATTCCCATATCAGTTTAACATCTTGAACATATATGGTGTGACAACTGCGAATGTTTATTCAGCACAATCATGTCTACATATATGTATGCATGCGTGCGTGCGCGCGCGCGTGTATATATATATATATATATATATATATATATATATATATATATATATATATATAAATTATGTATATATATACGAGTATATGCATTCCACAAATACAAGTGTGGATGACTATACTTCCGGATACATGCCTTCCTTGGCCATGGTCTACAACACGAGCAGGGTCTTCTGGGGTCCTGTGATTCGCTTCCGGTCTTCATGCAAGATCGACATCACTTTCTTCCCATTCGACACTCAAGTCTGCAAGCTGAAGCTGGGCTCATGGGCTTACACGGGTTTAGAGGTAAGTGGCTTCTATATCATTATATGCATGAAGTTGCAGACAGATTGGCTAGTTTTGCACCAATGGGGGGTATATTTATGTCTGACAGGTTCTGGATGGTCAATGTTTTTTGTGAGTAGGTGAACGATGCGGAGGTCCGAAGAGATCATTATGGTCTGGAGAGAACTGTTTAGCTAGGAGTGACCACAACTGGCAAGCAATGCATTAACGCATGTGGGAAGAAGCATGGACAGAGCATATATCATCAAGGCTTTGCGGACTGGGCTAGTGGATAATGACGAATCTCTGACACTAACACAATTTCATATTATGGGAGTAACGCATGATGAAGTACGTCTATACCGCCTTCGAGGTCAATGTAGGAGACATTATAACTAACCTCTCATGCAAACAATTAGTAGAACTTTCTTGGAGTGGTTGTTGTATCGGAGGACTGAGCACGAATGGGAATGCTCAATATACAGTGACGTTGACTGTAATAACATAACATAATTACACTCAGAGGTAAGGCAGGAGGGGCATATAATCAAACTGCTACTTGCATCATTGGAATTTGAACTCTTTGCTGGCTGATGAAGATGAGGACGGGGTGCTTATGGGAATGACCCGATTGCTGTGATATCAATTCTTAGCTCAACCCCAACACAATGCATAGAGTTACGGCCCCTAGCATTCACCAGGGGGATTTATTCTCCTGTTTAACGTGTCTCGTCAGTCTACTGGCAACTCATCGACCTGGCTGCTTCGAGATACTAAGCTAAGTGGTTTTGTGTATTTATGTGGTATTGTTTGATTTATATATGTGCTGATGAAGGCTCCATACAAAAGGCAAGAGGGGCTTTCATAGCACTAGGGAATTTGTGGAGGGCAAAAGAAAATAAAAGAAATACTAAACTAAAAAATTTTAATTCTAATATCAAATCAGTACTATTGTATGGGGCGGAAACATGGAGAACAACCAAGGCAATTACTAATAAATTACAGACATTCATTAGCTGGTGCCTGCGCAGAATAGAGGGAATAAAATGGTATGATAGAATAACTAATGTAGAACTTTGGGAGAGAACTAAACAGGCTCCAGTGGATCAGGAAGTGAGGAAAAGACGCTGGCGTTGGATAGGGCACACACTGAGAAAACAGGAGAACAGCATTACTAGAATGTCTTTGCATTGGAACCCACAGGGGCATAGGAATAAAGGAAGGCCAAAAAACACATGGAGAAGAGAGCTGGAGAACGAGGTTAGAAAGATTGGGAGGACATGGGGAGAGCTCCATGCAATGGCGAAGGATAGAACGACTTGGCGTGAGTTGGTTGAGGGCCTATGCTTCATTGGGGGATAGAAAGGCAGAAGAAGAAAGAAGATGAAGGCTCCGTAGCCGCAATGTTCAGGTTTTTTTTTTTTTTTTTTTGGGTAAAATTATGAAGCTTGATGATATACTTTCCGTTAGGTTTTATTTCTTTTCTTGGTACAAAATTGCCAGAAGCACTGCGATTCACTGTTACGAAAACCGTTAGACATACATACATACATACATACAGACAGACAGTTAGTTCTTCGTTTTCTTGTTTCTTCTCTTGCTTCTCCTCCTCCTTTTTCTTCTTCTTTTCCTCCTCCTTCCCTTGTCTTCCTTTTTCTCGTTTTATTTCTACTTCGTATTCTTCTTGTTTGCCGAGATCATACTGACTATGTCACCCTTCACATTCCGTGCAAATTATGAGCGTACAACCATAGTGGCTACTGTTGTGTCTTTTTCTTCTTCTTCTTCTTCGATCTTTCTGTCAGAAAACTTGTATCGGGAGGTCAGTAGCCTTTATGAAAGCTATAATGCAGTCCATATCACCTCATGTACCATGCAGCTTTGTTTTCATTTTGATTGGAACAGGCTAGATTGTTTTTCTGTTGTCAGCATACAGTTGTGACGTGACGCGGTGGATTAAATGTTTATAATGTTGAGTAGGGAATTTCCTCTCAACACATTCCCTCCACCAGATTAACCGAACTAAAATCTGAGCTATGTTGCTCTCAGACAAAGTCCTGGATATCCAAGAAAACAGCCATATTGGCTCGTTAAGTACATTAACATTAGCTGAACTTGGTACCCACAAGAGAAGGAAAGGAATTTTAGATGCCTATAGCATTTAACTTAATGAATTATTAGACAGGGCAAATGATTCCTCCGTCTTCTACCTTCTCCCGGAGTTATTATGAATAATTAAAGAATTATTATCATATTAATTGAGCTCCACCAAATGGTATTCTATCTTAACAGTTTAATTAAACATGTAAGAACAGACATTTGGAATTACAAAAACTGATGCAGGATAAGACCATATATTTGATTTATTAACCTAGCAATCAGAGTATGACATTAGTCATCATTATTGTTTTAATTGATAGTGATGGTATGGTGATAATGAGAAGCTTCAGCTTGATAACTGAGCACCTAAGATTAGAGTGAATGGATAATGGTGGTGATAGGTTTACATCCATAAAACATGGTGAGACGTAACTTAATTATCATAGAACCTCTGACAGCCGTGGGTACTGTCAAGTTCTTCCACCTTTTCCTCCCAGTTCTCCTGGTCCTCCACCTCGGTCCGTGCTCGTCCCCACCTCGTTCTCCACCTCGTTCCCAGCTGGCCAAGTCTAACACAATGTAGTCTCTTTCATGGACTGATCGTCACATGGGCGCTGTAATCATGGAAACAAACACATACGTGTAATATCTAGACTTACACTAAGAATACATGTATTAATTATTATAACATATAATAATAAAATATATCCCATCACTCCTCATATTCCACATTCTCTCCAGTCTAGTCTGAAGGTCTTTTGTCTTACATGGACGTCACATATTCTGCCTTCCCTCTCATTCTATGTCATGATAGTTGACTTTCTAAGTCTGTTGTCCGTCATCATTCAGACTTCCAATTGGCTGACATTGATTTGACATAAACATGTGGCGCAGGTTATGTGCTGAACACGCAAACAATTTATATGTGCACGCTGTCCTGAATATTATCTTTCAGTGACCGTGAATTCTATACACCCATCATTCTTCCCCTGGGGTTATAAATCCCCTGTTTAGGTGAACACATTAAGTGAGCACGTGGTGGGCACACAAAACGTAGCAGCATCCCTGCACATATTTGGGCATCATTTCCCACAGTCCCAACTCATATTTTGGCTGATCATGGAAACAATATAATTACATTTCATTATAGCAAATGTCGTTGTTCACATCTTATTTTATACACATGAAAACATACACTGAAAAACATGTGACACAAACATACAAGAAAAAGAAACTATTTTAGCAGTTCCCTAACTGAGATACTGAATACTCACAAAGAACTATTTCAAGCAGAATGTGCAGACAAATTTAGGAAAAGGTAGTATAGACTAAGCTTAACTCCCTAACCTATGTATACAAGATTAAAATTAATATTTTACCTGGGAACTTCCATCAATCGCCAAACCAGAATCCGACCGTAAAATTTACCTTTTAGGTCGACCTGTGTTTGTTTGCCGGCAGGCTGCGATTAATGACGGGAATTCCAAAGGCTCGAAGTATACTATCTATCTGTCTCAAAGGTTAAACTCCTCCCTTTACTCGGTTCTACCCAACCCTCAAGACGATGACTTAAGCCACGCCTCTGAAGTACCTATCAGATCAAATTAGCTAACAAGTGGCCTGTCAGTCAATTCTGGACTGACATCCCTAGAGCAAACATTCTTAAGTGACCCAATCTAGTTTACAACGAATCTAACTAGCCGGTGTGAAAAGACGGTCAGTGAAGCCATTGTGTTTCCTACTTGACCAAGATCAAACATTCCTAATTGCCAAACACCTGTTCTCTTGAGAATTACACTGACGTGCGAAACTCAAACCTCTCGTCTCCACAATGTATAGAGTCCACTCAATTCCCCTGATCTAGTCTTTCAAAGCAGTCTGGTCAGGAGATAACATTTATGACATGGGCATGTGAAATGAAATTCTCTAGCCCCGGTGTAATTGCGTAACATTACCCAAGACTCAGTCGCTTTGTCTGGCTAAGACGGGAAACACAGTTTAAACAATTCTCAAATCCCTTATAGTAGTTTTAGAACTATTTTAGGCTCAATGTCTATTGCTCTTAATTCTTTGTCCTTCTCTGAACATAAGAAATTATCAAACACAATATAACTTCTGAGACCACTGAGGTCATTTCGTCACAACAGTTTACAGTGTTCTAGCTCATGTTCAGCATTTTCAGGTGCCACGCTTTAGTTTTTTTGTTTTTTTTAATCTGCACTTCCCCACCCAACAACCCTTTCCCTTTCACCAATTTTCTGTTCTTTGTTTCTCCCTCAACTTAACTTTGTGATTTTTTTAAAGCTTGTGTATCTTCTTTCAAGTGAAGAGCGACAAATAATGCTCCCCAGGGACCCGACAATAAACTAGGCTATATCTTATTGAATTTACATATTTCCCTGGCCATGTTAGCATATATAACATCCACATTAGTTTGTTTTATTAAACAACGCTAACCTGATATGTGCCAGTTTGATACACTGAGTTGTGCACATTAATTCAATAGCTTCATCTTTAGATAGACTAGCTGTCGAACTGTGGCAAGTTCTCTCTGTAGAACTGACGTTATAGGTGGCAATCGCAGTGTGGGGTGATTAGTGTTTTCAGGAAAAAATTTAATTACGATTCTCATTTCTTTATTTCTTCATTTTATTTCTTTCTTTCTTCCTTTCTTTCTTTATTTCCATCTACCACTGTTTTTTTCCTCTTCTCTTCCGTTTCCTCCTCTCCTTTTCCGCTTTCTCCTCTTTCTTCGTCTTTTCCCCCTCCTCCTCCTTTTTCTTTTTCTTCTTCTTCTTCTTCTTCTTCTTCTTCTTCTTCTTCTTCTTCTTCTTCTTCTTCTTCTTCTTCTTCTTCTTCTTTAGCCTAACGAGCCCTTGAGGTTCACTGTTTTCGATATCGTGCGCCTCCATTCATCTCTGTGATAGGCTTTATCTTTCCAGGTGGAGTTTCCAAGTGTTTGCACGTCTCTGAATATTATTTCCCCGCCGACTGCTTGCTTTGCGTTGTGGTCTGCTCCCAAAGAACTCTTTTGCGTACACACTTTGTTCTCCCTGTTATTTACTATTCCCTCTTTACACCCTACACTTTACCGTCTGTTGCTACAGCAAATTATATCTCTATATTTTTTAAGGGATATGTTTAATTGCTTAAAGATATCTTGGCAAGTGTTCTGTTTTTCTCCCACGGAAAATGCCGGAGATTATCAGTACAGTGCATGAAATTCGTAAAACTGGTTTGAATCATGTGTATTTATGCTAGTCCACGAGTGGTTTCCGAGCTCTATTGTGGAGCGAAAAAGAATAAACACACTGCCCCTGTCAAAAAAGTCGACTAATTAGAGGTGTTTGATAGACATGCAGTTTAGGCGTTGAAAACTTGCTTCGTAATGCCAGGGTGCTGGGTTCGATCTCAGCTGCTGGCCTTGCGCCTTGCTTTGGTTTCCACAGTGATATCAAAAAGCTGACCGTGCAGAAGCATTGACAAACTACTGGACGTAAATATGCCCAGAAAAACCACAACGGCCAAAAAATGCTGGGTTGGTTTTGCTACGTTCTGTAAAGTATACACAACTAACCTTAACTGACAGACATTCATCAATATGCGCTTTATACATCTTTAAACTTATTCCCGACTTCCAGAGATGTGTTATGTAGAAACTAAAACAACAAACCATGAAGTGACAAAAGCCGTACTTTTATAATCGTACACGTACAAGATAGTATCACTCTTTTTGAAACACTGTATTTTGATGAAAAAGAGCATTCGTTTTGTTAAAATTAAACGAGAAAACATTTTTAATCACATTACTTACCTGCATTACCTCTTGTTTTAATTCCTGTGTTTGTGCTGGGTTTCTAGGTCGATGTCTGGAACAGCTCTGACACAATGGATCTGTCAAACTTCGTTTTATTGTGACAATGGAAAAAAGTATAAAACATTCAACACTTCTTTTATAATCACAGCTAAAAATCCTGCTAATCATTCTTGATGACGCTGTATTCTAAAATATAACGTTAATCACATAGCAGATACAGCATTTGTGAAATGTGAAATGTGAAATGTGAAATGTGAAATGCCACGTGAATACCTTCAAATATTACAGACCAAGGCCTTGACAGTGAAGAGACCAGTTCTCCTCCCCGCCATCTTTCAGTCCTTGATAATTGATAGAAAATGTCGACGAGTGTCTGATACTTATTTTTATCAGCTTGTTTAAAAATTATTACCCCCCCCCCCCCCCCCCCCGTCACCTTTATAGTTTAAATATATACCCGTGTATGTGTGTGTATATATATATATATGCATTTTAACCCACGCAGGTGAGCGTCTAATACGCCACAGCGGCTGTGTGTGTGTGTGTGTGTGTGTGTGTGTGTGTGTGTGTGTGTGTGTGTGTGTGTGTGTGTGTGTGTGTGTGTGTGTGTGAGATAACATAACTCCAGAAAGGTCAAAATGAAGAGATTTTTTTTTTACGAAACAAGGTTGTGACACTTACGTGACTTTGGCGTAGTGACAATAATGTACCATAATGTATATATATATATATATATATATATATATTATATATATATATATATATATATATATATATATTATATATATATATATATACCTGTGTGTGTGTGTGTGTGTGTGTGTGTGTAAGAGGTGCGTGAATGTGTCTGTGTCTGCGTCTGTGTGCGTATGTTCCACTGTATCATCCTCAGGCACGACAGCGCTTGCCTACCAACATACACACATATGATTCACACACAGACAGGCACACATGCACACACACACATACACACACAGAGGAGTAGTAAGGGGCATGCGGGGGTGCGCGAATTTTTAAGGGTGCCTTTGGCATATTGTAAAGCAACAAATAAAACCCTAAAATGCACTTTGGTTACAATCGCCAAAATTGCATAGGTTCCTTTGGCATGGTGACGTCGATTACAAGACAGTAAAACCTCGCTAAGTGACACAGGTTATAACACAGTAAAACCTCGTAAAGTGACACAGATTATAACACAGTAAAACCTCGTAAAGTGACACAGATTATAACACAGTAAAACCTCGCTAAGTGACACAGATTATAACACAGTAAAACCTCGCTAAGTGACACAGATTATAACACAGTAAAACCTCGTAAAGTGACACAGATTATAACACAGTAAAACCTCGTAAAGTGACACAGATTATAACACAGTAAAACCTCGCTAAGTGACACAGATTATAACACAGTAAAACCTCGTAAAGTGACACAGATTATAACACAGTAAAACCTAGTAAAACCTCGTTTAGTGACACAGATTATAACACAGCAAAACCTTGTTAAGTGACACAGATTACAACACAGTAAAACCTCGTTAAGTGACACAGATTATAACACAGTGAAACTTCGTTAAATGACACAGATTATAACACTGTAAAACCTCGTTGAGTGACACAGATTACAACACAGGAAAACCTCGTTAAGTGACACAGATTATAACACAGTAAAACCTCGTTAAGTGACACAGATTATAACACAGTAAAACCTAGTAAAACCTCGTTTAGTGACACAGATTATAACACAGTTAAACCTCGTTAAGTGACACAGATTATAACACAGTTAAACTTCGTTGAGTGATTCAGATTTTAACACAGTAATACCTTATTAAGTGACACAGATTATAACACAGTAACACCTCATTAAATGACACAGATTACGACACAGTAACACCTCGTTAAGTGACACAGATTATAACACAGTAAAACCTCGTTAAATGACACAGATTATAAAACAGTAAAACCTCGTTAAGTGACACAGATTATAAAACAGTAAAACCTCGTTAAATGACACAGATTATAAAACAGTAAAACCTCGTTAAGTGACACAGATTATAACACAGTAAAACCTCGTTAAATGACACAGATTATAAAACAGTAAAACCTCGTCAAGTGACACAGATTAGATCATAGGGAAACCTGGTTAAGTGGCACTGATTATAACACAATAAAATCTCGTTAAGTGACACAGATTATAACATAGTAAAAACTCGTTAGTTACACAAATTAAAACACAGTAAAACTTCGATAAGTGACACGGGTTACAACACAGTAAAACCTCGTTAACACGAATTCTAAGGGACCGAAATTCGAGTTCGTTTTAAAAATAAAATCGTGTTAACCGGAGACTGTCACGCCAGCCTGTATTCATCATATTTTAGGGCAGTGCAGACAAGGAGTTCGTGAGCTTTAGAATTTGGGACCGCGTGGCTAGTGCTGTCGGCACGAACTATGCAGGCAAGAATGTTAATTTTTGCCCCCAACAGAAAAGCTCGACCACTTTATACCGGGCGTCGAGCCAGGGTCTTCTGCGTGAAAGCCCGATTAATACCGGGAGCTATTACCAATAATCTATAGCCGTTGGAGCCACAATTTTTTCATCTTAAAGCGTGTTCTTCTTAAGCGAGTTCGGGTTAACTAAGTGTCACTGTATATGTGTGTGTGTTGGCAGGGGTGGCAGTGCACAGAAACGTCGTCTACTACAACTGTTGCAAGGAACCGTTCCCAGACGTGACCTTCACCATTCAGCTGAGGCGCAGGACCAAGTACTACTTCATGAACATCATCATCCCCTGTATCATCCTCAGGTACGAAAGCGATTGCCTCCAAAGATACACACATATGTGATTCACATACAAACATAGACACATACATACTCACGCACACACACACACACAGAGGAGTAGCAAGGGTGTGCGAAGGCGTGCGCAGCACTATATGTCATCACTGGGAAAAGGGGGTGTAACAAAATATGGTTTTTTGTCATTTAAAAACGCATGTCAGTGTGTTTGCGCAAGCAAGCGCTCGTGTGTGTATAGGGGGTGACAGGAAAGTTTCCGCACCGGGTACCACCTGACCTTGCTACGCCACTGCAAACACACAC